TCAGCCTCTTCTTCCGCTTCCACTCTATGCCCCGCCGACGAGCTCTTCTACAAGGGCCAGCTCCTCCCCCTTCACCTCACTCCTCGCCGCTCCATGCTCCGCACTCTCCTCCTCGCCTCCTCCTCCACCTCCTCCGACGACAGCTTGACCACCGCATCCCGCGACTCCACCGGCAGCTCCAACGACTCCCGCCCCTCCTTCTCCGTCGCGGACCTTCTCCTCCCCTCCTATCGCGACTGCTCCCGTTCCTCCTCCGCCGCCGACGAAGCCGATCTCACCGCCCTGCCCCACCATTCCGTCGCCAGGAAATCTCACAAGTACCTCAACTTCTCGCTCTCCAGATTCTCCTGCGGCTTCCGCAAGGCTCGCCATCCGGATTCAGCCCACGCGCCCGGATCCGTACCCGCTGGACCCTCCCCTGTAAAACGGATGAGCAAATCCGCCAGAGAAGTCGTCGTAAAGTACCTGAAAAAAGCGAAGCCGTTATACGAAAAGCTTTCTCAAAATACAAGGCCGCCGCCGCCGCCGCAACGGAGGACCAAAACATCGGACGGATTTCTGAAGGGATCCGATCGGAAAAAACCCGCCCCGCGTTCGTTCTCGGGGAATTTAAGCTACTCCAGGATGAGAAGGAGACGGAGCGACGTTTCTAGCTGTCCGTCGTCGATGCGGTCCTCTCCGAGCCACTCCGGCATGATTTGCCGCGTCGTGGTCTCGCCGCAGGTGATGTGTAAGGCGGCGTGTTTGTCGGAAATGTCGTCAATTGAAGAGTTGCAGGCGGCAGTGCAAGGTGCTATCGCTCACTGTAAGAACTCAATGATCCGGAATTCATCAACTGCAATGGAACCGTAACTGCTGGTTCCAGAATCGATTGGTTGACATGAACGTCTGAAAATTTTACTACTTCGAGTTACTGCGCTAAAAGAAATGTTGAAATGTTCATGCTGCAATTTTGAAATCTTTTTTTTTGGGACAATATAGAGAGCATATGGCTTACGGAGTATATTTCCATGTAAATGTTCTGTATAATGTTTTTTTCATGCTTGTTATTCATCTTACTTTTCTTTTTAGTTAATAAAATGATACTCCCTCTCTAAATAAACTTCCATTTCGCTTTTTGAGAGTCAATTCAAATCACACTTAAACTCCTACTTTATATGTCAAAATTTTATAAAAATTGAATTATTTTTTGTAGGATTTGTAGCGGGTTTAATGTAGTTTCTGAATATGTAAATTTTATTTACTAAAAATAATTGGAATTTTTACAGGGATCATTTAACTTTATCGCTAGTCAAACTTCGTAACCCACAATTGGAAGTTTAATATGGGACGGATGTAGTAAATTATACGGAGTACTACGTACGTAGTAAGTATCAAAACATAAAAAAAAATGTGAAGATGTGAAATAAGTTGGTACAGATTTGCTATCTTCAATCTTAAATAAATGCAATCTTAAATAAATGTAACATGTTAATTTAATACCATTCACATGTTTTACTTTGACTAAGTAATATTTATTGATTTATAAATATTTTGTTTTTTGAAAAAGATATTGTTAAATGTGTCTCATTTTAAAATTTTAAAATCTAAATTTTTTAATTTTTTAATTAATACTCCCTCCGGTTTGTACTTCACACTTTCCTTTTTGGGACGGTCTAAAATAAACTTCACAGTTCCTTATTTCCTTTTTTGGCAAAGAAATCTACATCAAAACAGTGCCAAACAGTGTCTCAACAGTGCCAAATAGTGTCTCTACAGTGCCGAACAGTGTCAAACAGTGCCTCAACATTGTACTCTACATTAAGGTCAAATTTCTTTCCTTATTTTGTGTGAAGTCAAACTGTGAAGTTAAAAAAAACCGGAGGTAGTAGAAAATTGTATTCCGTATATATTGATGGTCAAAGTTGTACTATACCTTGATAAATATGAAATATTGACCGTTACAAAAAATTTCAAATGATATATCTTTGTAAATTTCAAAATATTAGAAAAGTTTTGCCATATAATACTAAAGAGTGTATTTCCTAAATATAAATAGTATACTCTCACATTGTAATTATATTGTTATACTATCACATTCACAAGACTATTACTACGTACTCCGTAAATGATATTGTGGCAGTATGGTTTGTGATAGTAATTTTTATTTAGAAAAAAGAAACATCGGGAGACCTTTTGATAACACTCAAACTGGCTGAATCGGCTCCTTCAGATGAAATTTATGAAGTTATGGTTGAAGTGGCTGTATTGGCTGATTCTGCGGATTTATGAAAAAAAAATATTTAAAATATTTTTCATTAATAAAATGAAGAAAAAAATATATATTAAAAATAGCTGAAATGGTTATGTAAAATAACCTCGGCCAATACAGACAAAAAAAGTAAGTCAAACTTACTTATTTTGATTATTTCACTATTAAGCGTGCAAAATAAAAAATTACGTGTTTGGTGAAAAATTTGACCGATAAAGTTGGTAAGTTGAAAAACATGATATCAAAGGGCTCCGCATTTCCAATTGTGGAAAATGTCTTGGTTTTGGAAGTTACTTGTACGAAGTTCATCATTTTGGACAAGAATAAGAAATGAGTAGGAGTAGTTAGGCATGGCAATGGGTCCGGTCGGGTACTGTAAGACTCGGACCCGCCCCATGACTTGGCGGGGCGGGTCCGCCCCGCCCCGCCCCGTGACTTGCACGGGTCCAAACTTGTTGACCCGTGACCCGCCCCGCCGTAATCTAATTAGCTAATATGTATTTCTATTTGTGGGAAGTTGTTACCAATTGAATCTACATAAAGTTTATCTCTGAATAATAATTAAAAATTAATATATTAAATCAAATTCATGATACGCTAAAAATTTCAAAAATTGAGGAAAAATTACTCAAACTTGAATAGTTAATCTATTTAATTATATTAATAATTGAATATATGTATTAAAATGCTATATATATCGCATACATTGATAATCTGTCGTTCATCTTATTCTAATATATATATATATTAATATATTATAAGATCAAAAATTTAATATTTATTGTATACACACATATGAATGTTGAAGTATATTTGTAGTATAATTTAAGAAAAAATATGTACACTTTTATATTGAGCGGGCGCGGGTCGGGTCGGGGCAGCACGGGTCAATACTAAGACCCAGACCCGCCCCATTGTATAGGCGGGGCGGGGCGGACCCGCCCCATTTGCAAGACGGGGTGGGCCGGACCCGCCCCAAATGTCTCGGGCCAGGGCGGGTCATTGCGGGTCGGGTTTTTTTGACATCCCTAGGAGTAGTTCAAATTTTACTAGAAGAGATGTAATCTTTCTTGAGTCAAATAAATGACATACTAATTGGAATGGTTTTTATAGTGTAGGTTACCGATTTCAATTTAAGTGGTTTTATTTCTGTTATAATCACATCGTATAACAAATGAGACTAAACTGGGTAGCAAACATTTTTTGACAATCCGGATAATAAAGGACGAATTCAACATAATTTACACCGTGTGCTTCTTGAACCTTAATGGTCTGTTTGTTTGGGAGTTAACCTAAGTTATTGAAGGTTCAATTTCTAGTTAACCTCGTTTGTTTGTATTTTTACAATAAGAACCTAGGTCATGTGTTAACCTCATTTAACTTGAGAGAACCTGAAAGAATCTTAAATTGAAGAACCTTCGAATTGGGGGTTTTGGAGGTTAAGTTCTCGTTTAACATAAAATGAGCCAGACTACCTTCATCCAAACAACATTTATTGCATTAACCTAGAGTCCTAGATTCACTCTGTATATTTCCAAACACTATTTTACGTATGGACCTAGGTTCACTTAGGTTAAGCTAATTTTCATTAAAACTTAGGTTTACTTTATTACACTAAGTTTACTTAACTTCACTTTATCCAAACAGAGCGTAAAGGTTATACTTGCACTAATTGCAAAGGAAGGATTAGATTTGGTTAAGAAGTGAAAGTTAAGGATCAAAATCAACTAAATTAATAGTTTAAAACTAATTTAGGTATTGCCTCAATAGGAGGGTTGTTTGTGGCATTAACTCAATTTTTATTTTGTGAGAAAAATAACTAAAATGCCGTAAACTTTGAAGGAGTGTGAGATAAACATCCCAAACTTTCGTATATAATTTACCCCAAACTTTATATAAAAAGTTATTTTAACACCATGGTCATGTATGTATTATTTCAAAATTTTATGATGTTTATTGCAAACATTAAAATAGCAAATTGAAAACATTACAACTTTATAGAGTTTGGGGGGATACTATTTATTATACAATGAAAGTTTAGAATGCTAATTATATCTTTATGAATGCTAAAATGTTTTAAATTATGAAATTAACACCAATTATTAACATTTTTGAAAAAAATAACACAAAATTGCGATTCTAAAATAACTTTATATATAAAATTTGAGATATTTTAATTATTTTTCCCTTGTTTTATTTCAAACCCCTATTATTATTATTATCCGCAAGACTGCAACTCTGCAAGAGAGATGGCGGAACATAAAAAGAATCGATCAATGTTTGAATAATTTGAACACGATTTAAGTTAAACCTTGTGCAAACTTAATTAATAATAATTGCTGAGGTTGATTAATGGGACTTGAAATAATGCCATACATTACCGTTGCATGTCACAGTGTCTGGTTGTCATAATCAATCGCTGGGTTGGCAAATTTCTAGTCCGTATTTGGTTTTATTGCACTGGGAATTGGAGTATTTGACTGTCCCGGAATCCAATGGGGCTCTATATTTTCATATTTTGGGGTTTTCAAATATAAATTCGACCGCCATAACTCCGTACATAACACGATTTCCCGATCTATTCCATTCGATTTCCACGTCCCATTTTCTTTTTTGATCATCAACTATTTGATCATCAACTAGATTTCTTTCATATCATAACGTTTAGATCATTATATTATTTAATGGAAAACAACATATACACAAATTAAACTCCAATCATTACGACTGTAAACCCTATGATCAGATTTAGAGACGGTCACTCCTGAAAGAGCAGCACGAATCGCTAATTATGTAACAGACTTGATACAACCATCCATATTCTCATAGATCCAAACATACTCAATGACATACAAAATGGCTGAAATCCCAAACAGACTGACAAAACTAACGACATAAACGATAACAGGAAACCAAAAAGCAAAATAATAATAACGAAAAGGAAGATTGTCGCGGACTCTAACACCTTGTACAACTCTGGCGGCGGTTCAGGAGGAGGTCAAACCATTGGGATCTCTCTACTTGATCTTCCATTGTCGCTCGAGATCTGACCTTTTCAGATAAAGACGCCGTACGATGACACCGTCACCAGTCCCAGCGGAGCCGTTCGTAGAACCTCCTCTCTGCCTCCGATCTTGATCCCTTCGCTCTCCATCCTCCGAGCCGCACGAGAGACGGCAGAAATCTCAAACCCTACTAGAGGGAAGGGACAAGAAACAAATAACTTAATTATTATTGATAAAGATGACACGAAACATTACAATCATAAAGCTCAAGGCTACAATGGGATGAGACATAGAAACAGACGATTCAAATCGAAAACGCCGAATCGCTAATCCCGCAAAGAAGTAGACTCTACCTGCAGATTGACTGCTCCTACTACGATCACAATAATTATGAAATGAACTCTTAAACATCCCGGTTTGTCCAGCCACCGGTAAGGAGCCAACTGTAGAATTTGTTCCGGTTTCACCAGCCACCGGAAAGAAAGCAATCCAAATGATCTCATCTTCCTGCAACGGCGGTGGTTCAGCAGGGGCGATCCGCCTCAATATCGGCGTAGAAGAAAAACATATTTCTGATTGATGAAGAGATCAGTGCAAATCTCTTCTTAGCACACAAGAGCACCCGATTGAAAGTGGCGAGGAAGATGCATCTGGCAGACGATACTTCGCTACTGAAAATAATATCTCCATACAATATTGGGAAAGAAACAGATGAATAAAATCTCAACAACTGATTAAGACGATAATTTTCCATTGTTGGAATCAAAGAAGATTGAAAGAAGAGAAGAAAAGAAGAGAAAAGAAGGCGGCGGCGGCTAGGGTTCCCCATGCCATAGCCGCTCCTCTCTGGATCGTGAATCGTGTTAAATGCTTGTTTATGGACTCGACATACACACAAGTGAGTTATGAAGTATGAGTACATGTTTTTGAAAGTACACTTCCTTTTAGTTCTAAAAAAGAGACATCATCCCATTTTCTTCTTGAAAAGTGAAAAAATTCCTCACATAAAATTAAAACTGCAAATTTTCTTACATATGAATTACATTTTTTTGTTTAAATCATGGTTTTACGCACTTTAATTTAGGATTTTTTATTTATTTATTGTTCAATAAGACTACATAAATCATGTTTTAGAAAAAAACATATTTAATCATATTTCTAAACTTTATTTATATTCCAATCCACATGTTTTGAGCCGTTTGGTGACTCTGTTTTCGACTTATCAGACCCATTAGTCAACTTTCAATCAAACACGTAACTTTTGATTTCACACGCTAATTGTGTGATAAAAAAAAGCAAGTCTGAAGTTACTTTTCTGGCCGTATTGGCTAAATTAGTGCAGATGATCATTTAATTTTTTTTACTTTATTAATCAAATATATTTTAAATATAATTTTTTCATAAATCAACAGAATCAACCAATAGAGCTAGAACTTCATAATTTTCAACAGAATCAGCTAATTTAGCCGATTTCAGTGTTACCAAACGGGCTTTTTATCTACTTCCACAACATTCCAGGTCTAGTAAATGTATAGTCCCTCTATCCCGTTAGAAGGTTCACATTTCCCTTTTAGGAAACAATTAACAATCTCAAATGACAAATTAGTCATTAAATATTAAAAATAATACATTTATAACATCACAGTTATCAATACTAACACATTATAATATATACCTATTAAAATTATTTCTCAAAATATACCCGAAGTACTTCATTTAATTATCACCTAAATAAATGTGCCATTTTGCTATGCGAACCTTCTAGCGGGACGGAGGTAGTATGTGAATAATGCATGAAAACATGTATTTCTCACCGACTAATCTATGTAAATTTGCCTATTACAATCTATGTAAATTGATACATGTGCTGATGTATGACTCTGTCTATTTGCACACAAACTATTGTTCAAAACAAGGAAAATTGTTTGGTTCTCGTATTATTATGAAATAATCGATTAAATCTTCATACCTTTCAAAAAATCAGTCAAACCTTCAAGCTTTGAAAAAACGTTCAATTGAGCCCATAACCAGGTTACATGCAATGTCAGCAGGTTGTGCTTCCACATGCGCAACCACATCAGCAAAGTCAATGTTGTCTGGACTGCCACATGTGCGCCACGTCAACAGGTGGCTTAATTGCTTGTAACACCCACCCCGGCCGGTCTAGCCTGTTCGGGACAGATGTCACTGTCGTTTATCATTTAGTGAAATTTTCCATATAAATTAGAAAACATTTAATGAAAAATGTAATCGTAATCATTTTAATGAAAAATCACTTGTGAAATAATACATTTATCTTTACTGGAATGATATCCTTATTTTTAAGACGTTGGTTGTACCAACTTTAAAACATGAAAACAAAACAAAACAAATGCATTGCAGTCCTCTCCAGATGTCCATCGTCCCGGGCTCCAGCTTGCTCTCATATTTGCCTACGTGTAGAAAAACTACACGCTCAGCAATTGAATTGCTGAGTGGTACTATAATATAACATGTAGTAATGAAATAAAAGAACATGTATTCATCACTTTAATTTAATAAATTTGTACAGATAAATAAATAATAGAGATTTATCAAAGTCAAACAACAACTTTCATATTAACTTTACCTCTATCTCATCTTAATTCAAAATACTTTTTAGCCTTTTCATGTACTTATAACGTGGTGGAAAAATAATTCCACATATAAATAGCTGTATAACAGAAATCATATATCCAATGAGGAAATCATCTTCTATTTTTCAATGTATTCATTTAACCTTCCATTTCAGCCTTTACTCCAAGGACCAGACTCTAGCTAAGGGTACAAATAAAATAGCTTATCATATAACTCTAGTTTCGTGGACCCTGGCCTGGGGTCATATGCTAGCATACCGTGGAGAACGAATCGTCGAAACAACCCGAACTCAACGTGGAGTCGAAGTCGGTGTAACCAACTCGCGACCCAAAAACGTGGGAAACAAGACTACCCAAACCTGAGTTCAAGTAATCTTGAAATCAAAATTGTAAAACGTGATACCCAAAGACTAGTATTCTAAATCCTAGAATAAGACTTTTACATAAAAATATTACAAGTTCTAGTACATATTATGCAAATAATGTAAAAATAGTCCTGGCACATATTCGTAAACATACATTCGTAAACAAATAGACTTTTCACCCATATTTAGAGGGTTACTTGAACATATGTAAACGTAATACTACAATTTAGAAATAGCAATGAAACAATGATAATGTTTAATTAATTATTACGTATGTAAGTGTGAATCTTATATAACATTCATTTCTAAATAAAACCATTTAATAGCACATGTATATGAAACTAAGATACACATATTTACTTGTATTCTTATACTCATTTATCATATATTCACATTATCATATATATGGATATCACCACGTAAACATTCACTTTAAAGAAATCACCTAACACATTATACGTTAGGTACTTATAATACACACATCTTTTATTTTAATAACAAAGTTAATACGTAATAACACTTAATAAATATCGTATTATAGTACTAACTAATATCTTTTCTTTGTATAACGAAAATAATGATACTTAATCATTGACATCATTTTGTTTTGAATAATTAAGATAATAGCATTTAATAAATGTTGTATTATAGTACAGACCTTGTCGATACACCATGAATACGTACATAAACCGCTCTAAACTGCTCTTCCGCTATTCTTCTTCGCCTCAATTTTTTTCTTGATTCCGTTTCCTTTATTTCTATTCTCTTCTCTCATTTTAATTTCCCGGTGGACGACCCTAAGTCCTTCACTACTATCTCTAACTAAATATAGTGGCATTATATTAATGATTGTGTATGGTATCATGCTACGCAGTGGCGTATGCAACGTGGGGGCAGGGGGGCAGCTGCCCCCACTCAAATTTCTGGGCAAATATCAAAACGACGTCGTTTTGGTCGTTTTGTGCGTTTTGGGATTTTTTTAAAAGAATAGGTTTACCGATTGAAGCAGCGAAGCGGCCAAGCGGGACTTCTTTTCAGCGAGACCTTAAGCTAACCCTCCTCGGATCTTCAGCTCCAAATCTGAAATCTCCAATCGACTTCGACTCTTCAAGTCTACAGACCGCCAGACAGGTGAGCGGCAACGAGCGAGAAACTCCAAGTACGCGATGCTGAAGAAGTTGAAACCTCTGACCGACTCCGAACTCTGATCTTTAGCGCTGCTGAACTGCTGAAGCCTCTGACTGACTGGGAACTCCGGTATGGCTTACTGGCTGCGACGCTGCGTCAACGGCCAACCTATCAAGGAGTTATTTGCCTCAAATTTTTACTTCTCAAAGGTCAAGGTAAGATTCTGGACTCTTGCTTCTTGATGTGTTTATTTTCATCACCTATTTTACGTTCTTACTTGTGGATTTGTGAACGAATGATTTGCCTTAATTTGTCCTGTAGTATGAGAATTTTGTTTCAATTGTGGATTTGTCATTTGATTCATCATTCATTGATTGTGATTAATTGGTCTGGACGTCTGGTAGCTGCTATATCAAGGAATTAGGCATATTTTGCTTAAGTAATTTCAACGTTTTAGTATTCAAAATAATATATATATATATATATATATATATATATATATATATATATATATAGGGTAAGGTTCAAGTGAGAAGAACCCTTTGGGTGAGAAATGAGAATGAATCTCAGCCATTGGATTCGACTAAGTTGCAGTAAAAGACACTTCATGATGCACTGAAATATGCAATCTAGCACGGTGGCATTTCTGTAAATACTTCTGAAAAATCCGTATTACACGTGTCTAGTGCAACATGAAGCTGTTTCGGTGCAACGCCATCAAATATTAGTGCAACATGAAACGGTTTTAGTGCAACATGTGCAAAATTTAAATATTACCGCAACATAAAGCCAATTTTAGTGCAACTTCGTAAATCCAATGGCTGAGATTCATTCTCATTTCTCACATTAGATGCATTTCTCACCTGAACCAAAATATATATATATATGTATGTATGTATGTATGTATGTATGTATGTATGTATGTATGTATGTATGTATGTATGTATGTATGTATGTATGTATGTATGTATGTATGTATGTATGTATGTATGTATGTATGTATGTATGTATGTATGTATGTATGTATGTATGTATGTATGTATGTATGTATGTATGTATGTATGTATGTATGTATGTATGTATGTATGTATGTATGTATGTATGTATGTATGTATGTATGTATGTATGTATGTATGTATGTATGTATGTATGTATGTATGTATGTATGTATGTATGTATGTATGTATGTATGTATGTATGTATGTATGTATGTATGTATGTATGTATGTATGTATGTATGTATGTATGTATGTATGTATGTATGTATGTATGTATGTATGTATGTATGTATGTATGTATGTATGTATGTATGTATGTATGTATGTATGTATGTATGTATGTATGTATGTATGTATGTATGTATGTATGTATGTATGTATGTATGTATGTATGTATGTATGTATGTATGTATGTATGTATGTATGTATGTATGTATGTATGTATGTATGTATGTATGTATGTATGTATGTATGTATGTATGTATGTATGTATGTATGTATGTATGTATGTATGTATGTATGTATGTATGTATGTATGTATGTATGTATGTATGTATGTATGTATGTATGTATGTATGTATCAATTATCAATTGACAGTTGCAAATAAACATTATGCGATTGTTAAGGATTTTGATTTCTGTGAATAATATATTAATATGTGTAATTAATATTTCTAAATAAATTTATGAAATATATTTTATTGTTCAGTTATGGAAAAATCAGTCTTGGCAAGTTATTTTCCTTACAAAAGAAAGTTTAATTTAGAGGATTCATCTAATCAAAGCTCTGCGGAAGG